ACATCTAGAAATGCATCTACTGGCCTACCACTGACATCAAGATAACGTACACAATGACTTAATACTTGATGACCATTTGCATCGGTGCGTTCATCAGCCATGCATGCAAATTTTTTGAATGTGGGGAGAGAGTTCTTCACTTTTTCAGCTGTTGAGTCTTTCGCTGTTGCACCACATGCGTCTAGCCCGTCAGTTGGTTTCTTGCAGAAAGACGGTGAGCATTTGCTGGTCTTGTTCGGAACCAGTGTTCAACTTCAGGATGAACACGTGTCAATTCACTTAACACTGGTCTCCAGTTTGTAGTTTTGTGGCGTCTCTTGCTGAAATAGACGGGAGGAGGCCTCGGCCACGTTTGGTCGCATGAACTGTGTTGGTTCTCCAGCATTCTTACCAGCCCCGTGAACACTCACCGGCGTTGTCCTGGGTCAGTGGGGACTCGGAGTTCAGAGGAGCTTTCCCATGAGTTCACCTCCCAGGTGGGGGGCAAGGCGGCACCTCGCTCGTTCCTCCAGCTGCTCAGTGTTCGCTCTGGCCACTGTTGTTCATTGTGCCACCGTTCACGCCATCGCTCTGTTGCCAGTGGCCCTGCGCCGTCACCTGCTGCTGCCACCTCCACTGTGACCTCTGCGAGTGGGTCTCTTGAGGTTCCACCGGCTCCCAGTGATTTCAGCTGAGCTCTCAGTGGGGGAACCTCGCTGCTAGTGCAGACTGGGCCGTCTCTTCCACAGAAACCCTGTCCCACAGCAGGTCTACGTGCTTAGACCTGCTTATCAGTGATTTCAGCTGCAATGGTCACTGAACAGAACAAAAGACCCTCTATGGAGCCTAATCAGCTCTGTCTTTAAACAGTGGAGAGGGGCAGGTCAACTAGTACTTGTGACTCAGGCAGACCATCAAGCAAAACACCTGTCCCCACCCGCTCTCTCGATGCCCTCAGTCAGCACAGGCTAAGTGCACTTCTACTGCCCTTTACTCAGACAATAAGAACAACAACATTTCTTCCCCTACCCCCCTGTTCAAGGGATTTGTAACCCAACCCCAGCCAAAATCTATCACTTGGGCAACACAGCTCTGTTTGCTGTATACCTAGGTAGATAGGTGTGAATGTAAATACCAACTGGTCCTGAAGCCTTTCCCCCCAGCCCCCAGCTCATCACTAGCTGTCAGGGAGAGCTCATTTAGACTTTGCTTACAAATCATCATTTGAAATTATTAGGTTGGCCAACATCACCGGCATGAATGCACTGACATTGTCATAAAAAACAACAGCTGTATAAGGAAGCTAGTTTGTGTTCATACTTTTCAAATCTATTATACTTTTTCAGATACATGTATTTTATCATACACTTTATATGCTTTTAAAGGGTGTATTAATGTTTTAATTTTCCAAACAATCATTAAATTGGCAACACTGCATGTAACTAGTTCACAAAACTGGGGGGTGGGGGTGTTGTGGAAATTTTAGGGGGTGTACACCCTCCCTAGAGGGGGTGTAGGGAAATCCCTACTCTGGGGGAAAGGGAGAGGGGGCTCGGGCCAGGCTCCACGTGGGAGTTGGGAGGGGAAGGGAGAGGGGGGTTGGGTCAGGATCCACGCAGGGAGAGAGTGTGGGGGGATATATTCATTCACTGTCTGGCTTGCCTGGGGGCAGGGGCTCAGGGGGGAGAGAAGGAGCAGGGCTGAGGGTCTGGGGGGCGAGGGGAAGGAGGAGCAAGGGGTGGGGCCAGAGTCCTGGCACTCCTGTGGGGCCCTTAAGTTGACCACGGCTACTGGGCACAGGCCCCGTCAGACCATACCATAATCCGCCACAGATAAATGAAAACAATGAAGTTAACAGCCCATTAGTTTTCATGAAGTTGAAACACCAGCTACACTCATATATTTAACAATCACTTAGCTCTCTAATACACAAATGACTTGGCCTGGGGCTCTGGCATGAGCTGGCACCTGGTCTGCCAGCGTAATAGGGTGGCAAAAGAGCCACATGAAAACTCCCCATGTGCACCCTACAAGTGTCATCTGACAGCCCAGACCCAGGGGAGGACATAAAACTGCTCTGAACCATGAACTGGAAACGACTGTAAGAATCTTGAAAGTGCCTAGTACACCAGACACCACCAGGATGGGAAATTGTTGTTGGCATCGCTGGATGGCGTTTGTGGCCTTGAACTGCCCGTGGTCGCTGGTAAAAGTGACCTTGCTCAGTTGGTCTTGAAGGGGGAAGAGATGTGACAAAGATAGGAATATTGGTCATATTCTCCAGGTTCCTGTGGACTTTGCACAGCTATACACTGAGTGTGAAGGGAAGGGACAAGGGGTGTGACACACGCGCACCTCGTTGGAGAGCAGAGTTGTTAACATACAGAGTGCACACAAGGGATCGGGGGATCCGAAGAGACAAAGGAATTGCCATTGGCCAGGATGTTCACACTTAGCAGCCAAGGACCAGGAGGAAGGAGATCCCCCCCACCTCTGTGCAGGGAAGCCCAGCAAAGATCCCTAACAGGAGGACAAAGGGCAAAGGTGTCAGGGAGGGGCTAAGTGCTGAGCTCATAGACACACAGAGCTCTGCATCTGGGACTGACAGACAAAGGCAGTGAGAGCAGAGATCTTTCCTACAGCAGCAGGGCCCAAGGGAGGCCTGGCTTAATCTTACCTGTGGCTTCTCTCTGCTGATCTCAGGGATTCCCCATGCTGGGTCCCCGCCCACTAAGAAACCCTGCTCTACTTGGAAAAGGCTGCTGGGTGTCCCTGCAAATGCTGGCTGAGGTGCACTGGTCCCTGCAGGGCGGGCAGGTCTCTGCCCAGAAGTCGGGCTTAGTTGGACTCGCTACGCAGAACTCGCAGTGTGAAGCTGGAGGGCTGGAGCCCAAAGGCTCAGTCTCAATCCAGGAGGCGGTGAGGCTGCATTACCTCTCCTGAAGGAAGCATGGGACCCCTTCGGGGTCTGGCCCACTGAAGGGAATCCTCCAAGAGACTGTTTAAAAGCTGGGGGTAGCACCCATCCTGTGGATCCATGACACCCCGCCTCCAAGGAACCCCTCTTCCACCATGGCACTGCTCTAATCCCATCTCAGACGTCTCCCATTGCTTAAAACTCTTTGTGATTTGCCTGCCCACAGCGAGCAAGGCTGGTCCCACAATCCATTTCCATCCTTGAAAAACATCTCTCCAGCTGCATTCTGGGCAGGCAGAGAGAGCCCAGCATCCCTGGGTGCATGTTAATGCTGGCTCCAAAAACTGGCATGCTCAGATTTCACCTTGATCTGAGAACAGATGAGGCAGGCCTGGGAGAGGCTGAGTCACTGTGTTTACTTGTTTCAGAGTAACAGCCATGTTAGTCTGTCTTTGCAAAAAGAAAAGGAGTACTTGTGGCACCTTTAAAAAAATCTTTAAAAAAGGGAAGAAGGAGGATCCTGGGAACTACAGGCCAGTCAGCCTCACCTCAGTCCCTGGAAAAATCATGGAGCAGGTCCTCAAAGAATCAATCCTGAAGCACTTGCATGAGAGGAAAGTGATCAGGAACAGCCAGCATGGATTCACCAAGGGAAGGTCATGCCTGACTAATCTAATCGCCTTTTATGATGAGATTACTGGTTCTGTGGATGAAGGGAAAGCAGTGGATGTATTGTTTCTTGACTTTAGCAAAGCTTTTGACACGGTCTCCCACAGTATTCTTGTCAGCAAGTTAAGGAAGTATGGGCTGGATGAATGCACTATAAGGTGGGTAGAAAGCTGGCTAGATTGTCGGGCTCAACGGGTAGTTATCAATGGCTCCATGTCTAGTTGGCAGCCGGTATCAAGTGGAGTGCCCCAAGGGTCGGTCCTGGGGCCGGTTTTGTTCAATATCTTCATAAATGATCTGGAGGATGGTGTGGATTGCACTCTCAGCAAATTTGCGGATGATACTAAACTGGGAGGAGTGGTAGATACGCTGGAGGGGAGGGATAGGATACAGAAGGACCTAGACAAATTGGAGGATTGGGCCAAAAGAAATCTGATGAGGTTCAATAAGGATAAGTGCAGGGTCCTGCACTTAGGACGGAAGAACCCAATGCACAGCTACAGACTAGGGACCGAATGGCTAGGCAGCAGTTCTGCGGAAAAGGACCTAGGGGTGACAGTGGACGAGAAGCTGGATATGAGTCAGCAGTGTGCCCTTGTTGCCAAGAAGGCCAATGGCATTTTGGGATGTATAAGTAGGGGCATAGCGAGCAGATCGAGGGACGTGATCGTTCCCCTCTATTCGACATTGGTGAGGCCTCATCTGGAGTACTGTGTCCAGTTTTGGGCCCCACACTACAAGAAGGATGTGGATAAATTGGAGAGAGTCCAGCGAAGGGCAACAAAAATGATTAGGGGTCTGGAACACATGACTTATGAGGAAAGGCTGAGGGAGCTGGGATTGTTTAGCCTGCAGAAGAGAAGAATGAGGGGGGATTTGATAGCTGCTTTCAACTACCTGAAAAGGGGTTCCAAAGAGGATGGCTCTAGACTGTTCTCAATGGTAGCAGATGACAGAACGAGGAGTAATGGTCTCAAGCTGCAGTGGGGGAGGTTTAGATTGGATATTAGGAAAAACTTTTTCACTAAGAGGGTGGTGAAACACTGGAATGCGTTACCTAGGGAGGTGGTAGAATCTCCTTCCTTAGAGGTTTTTAAGGTCAGGCTTTTGACAAAGCCCTGGCTGGGATGATTTAACTGGGAATTGGTCCTGCTTCGAGCAGGGGGTTGGACTAGATGACCTTCTGGGGTCCCTTCCAACCCTGATATTCTATGATTCTATAACCTTAGAGACTAACCAATTTATTTGAGCATGAGCTTTCGTGAGTTACGGCTCACTTCATCGGATGTGTTTACTTGGCTAGCCCCTGGCAAGGAGCCTGCAAAGAACAAAATCACACACAGCTCCCAGGATCCTATAAATAGGAGGGGACCTAGCGAGGGTGTGACAAATTGCAGGTGCCCAGCACTCAGTGCTAATGTCTCACCGAACTGAGAAGGATAATTTAATAGACCTCAGACTTTGGTCAAGCCTGTCTAGCCCTTAGACAATCGTCAAGCTTGTTCCTGTGTATAAGGGGCAGGAGGGGGGGCAGAATGGAAAATTTTAAGCAGAACAATTTGTAATAGACAGGCATGTTAAAGTATAACCACAACAGTAGTGTTAGAAAGGATGTTAAACCACAAGAGAAACATTTGTGAATAACAGGAAAAAGCTTGTTTTTCTATAGCCCAAATAAGGGCGCTTGTTTTAATAGATTCCTAATAAGGCAAAATATCGATGCGGAAGTGTAACCGGTTGTGGTTTTAAGCTATATACACTCCTGTGTTTCTGTATTTGGCAAAGCAGCGTGCCCTGGCTGTCTCTCAATTGCATGCACATGCTTGAAATAAGTGGGCCTCAGGCTGGTTCTGATCCAAACACAACGCGTGGTCATTTTTCCACAACAGAACCATGGACTTGCTGATGCTCCTGGGCTGCGTCTCGCTGTGGGTGGGGCTGGCGCTGGCTGAAGTGGGGTCGTTCAGTGAGTGCAGAAACTTTTTCTACCACAGAGCTGAGCCACAGGGCTTGGACGTGGCTAACACAGCCGAGATCTGCCAGAAGTACAACAATCTATACTACTTTGCAACCCTCTATGACAGGGCCAACCGGATCCCGTGCTGGTCGGCGTACAAGCTGGGTGATGCTGCCTGCCCAGGGCAGGCCAAGAAGATGAGCCAGTGGTTTGTGGAGCCCCAGGTCAGTCCCAGAGCTCTGTCTAATGCACTCCAGGGGTCGGAATTGCTTAGGCAGCCCATGAATAAGGGGGTGCAAGGAGAAATGGGTGGAGAAGGAAAAGGGGAGGGGTCACTCTTCAAGAGAGCTTGGGCCATGGGATGCTCTGTCGCGCAGATAATTGGGCCGTGGGATGCCCTGCCGCACGGGGAATTGGGCCGTGGGATGCCCTGCCGCACGGGGAATTGGGCCGTGGGACGCCCAGTTGCTGCTGCCTTCATTGTTCTTGGACTCTCTTGGATCTCTGTCTGGGTCTGGACCCTAGATCTTGGCTTGATCATCCTGCTCCAGCGATGCAATCCTCTGCAGCTCGTTTAACTTCCCAGCACGTACCCTTCTCCTCCTGCCCAGCTCAGTGATGCTCGTCTCAGGAAGGTGGATGTATGTCATGTCTTGCTGTCTTCTGGGACTAAACTTCTTTTTACCGCTGCAAGTTAATTATTGCAGAATACTCTTGGTGCATTCAATGTCCCACCCTCTGCACCCACTCTCATGGATTCCCCAGGATCTGTGCTATGCCCCAGCTTTTAAATAATCTCTTGAAGATACCCCTTTAATGGGCCAGACAACCCCCCCTCCCACCAAGGGTCCCACTGTTCCTTAAGGGCGATCCCCACAGCCTCAGTGCCACTGAGACTGAGCCTTGTTGGGGTCCAGCACTCCAGCTTCACACCGTGAGCTCTGCCCAGCAAATCCAGTTGAGGTAGATTCCTGGTCAGAGACTTGTCCCCTCTTCAGGGATCAATGCACCTCGGCAGATATTTGCAGTGACACCCGGCAGCCTTTTCCAAACAGACCAGAAGGGTTATTAGTCAACTGGAATGAAGCATCGGGAAGGGCTTTAAACTAGGTTCACCGGGGGAAGGAGACCAAAGCCCTGAGGTAAGTGGGGAAGTGGGATACTGGGAGGAAGCACAAGCAGGAGCACGTGAGAGGGGAGGGCTCCTGCCTCATACTGAGAAAGAGGGGCGATCAGCAAGTTATATCAAGTGCCTATACTCAAATGCACAAAGCCTGGGAAACAAGCAGGGAGAACTGGAAGTCCTGGCACAGTCAAGGAATTAGGATGTGATTGGAATAACAGAGACTTGGTGGGATAACTCACATGACTGGAGTACTCTCATGGATGGATATAAACTGTTCAGGAAGGACAGGCAGGGCAGAAAAGGTGGGGGAGTTGCACTGTATGTAAGGGAGCAGTATGACTGCTCAGAGCTCAAGTATGAAACTGCAGAAAAATCTGAGAGTCTCTGGATTAATTTTAGAAGTGTGAGCAACAAGGGTGATGTCGTGGTGGGAGTCTACTATAGACCACCGGACCAGGGGGATGAGGTGGACGAGGCTTTCTTCCAGCAACTCGCAGAAGTTACTAGATCGCACGCCCTAGTTCTCATGGGAGACTTCAATTACCCTGATATCTGCTGGGAGAGCAATACAGCGGTGCACAGACAATCTAGGAAGTTTTTGGAAAGTGTAGGGGACAATTTCCTGGTGCAAGTGCTGGAGGAACCAACTAGGGGCAAAGCTCTTCTTGACGTGCTGCTCACAAACGGGGAAGAATTAGTAAAGGAAGCAAAAGTGGATGGGAACCTGGGAGGCAGTGACCATGAGATGGTCGAGTTCAGGATCCTGACACAGGGAAGAAAGGAGAGCAGCAGAATACGGACCCCAGACTTCAGAAAAGCAGACTTTGACTCCCTCAGGGAACTGATGGGCAGGATCCCCTGGGAGAATAACATGAGGGGGAAAGGAGTCCAGGAGAGCTGGCTGTATTTTAAAGAATCCTTATTGAGGTTACAGGGACAAACCATCCCGATGTGTAGAAAGAATAGTAAATATGGCAGGTGACCAGCTTGGCTTAACAGTGAAATCCTTGCTGATCTTAAATACAAAAAAGAAGCTTACAAGAAGTGGAAGACAGGACAAATGACCAGGGATGAGTATAAAAATATTGCTTGGGCATGCAGGAGTGATATCACAAAGGCCAAATCACACCTGGAGTTGCAGCTAGCAAGAGATGTTAAGAGTAACAAGAAGGGTTTCTTCAGGTATGTTAGCAACAAGAAGAAAGTCAAGGTAAGTGTGGGCTCCTTACTGAATGAGGGAGGCAACCTAGTGGCAGAGGATGTGGAAAAAGCTAATGTACTCAATGCTTTTTTTGCCCCTGTCTTCACGAACAAGGTCAGCTCCCAGACTACTGCACTGGGCAGCACAGCATGGGGAGGAGGGGACCAGCCCTCTGTGGAGAAAGAAGTGGTTCGGGACTATTTAGAAAAGCTGGACGTGCACAAGTCCATGGGGCCGGATGCACTGCATCCGAGAGTGCTAAAGGAGTTGGCGGATGTGATTGCAGAGCCATTGGCCGTTATCTTTGAAAACTTATGGCAATCAGGGGAGGTCCCGGACAACTGGAAAAAGGCTAATATAGTGCCCATCTTTAAAAAAGGAAAGAAGGAGGATCTTGGGAACTACAGGCCAGTCAGCCTAACCTCAGTCCCTGGAAAAATCATGGAGCAGGTCCTCAAGGAATCAATTCTGAAGCACTTAGAGGAGAGGAAAGTGATCAGGAACAGTCAGCATGGATTCACCAAGGGAAGGTCATGCCTGACTAATCTAATTGCCTTCTATGACGAGATAACTGGTTCTGTGGATGAAGGGAAAGCAGTGGATGTGTTGTTCCTTGACTTTAGCAAAGCTTTTGACACTGTCTCCCACAGTATTCTTGCCAGCAAGTTAAAGAAGTATGGGCTGGATGAATGCACTATAAGGTGGATAGAAAGCTGGCTAGATTGTCTGGCTCAACGGGTAGTGATCAATGGCTCCATGTCTAGCTGGCAGCCGGTATCAAGTGGAGTGCCCCAAGGGTCAGTCCTGGGGCTGGTTTTGTTCAATATCTTCATTAATGATCTGGAGGATGGCATGGATTGCACCCTCAGCAAGTTTGCAGATGACACTAAACTGGGAGGAGAGGTAGATATGCTGGAGGGTAGGGATAGGATACAGAGGGACCTAGACAAATTGGAGGATTGGGCCAAAAGAAATCTGATGAGGTTCAACAAGGACAAGTGCAGAGTCCTGCACTTAGGACGGAAGAATCCAATGCACCGCTACAGACTAGGGACCGAATGGCTCGGCAGCAGTTCGGCAGAAAAGGACGTAGGGGTTACAGTGGACGAGAAGCTAGGTATGAGTCAGCAGTGTGCCCTTGTTGCCAAGAAGCCCAATGGCATTTTAGGATGTATAAGGAGGGGCATTGCCAGCAGATCGAGGGATGTGATCGTTCCCCTCTATTCAACATTGGTGAGGCCTCCTCTGGAGTACTGGGTCCAGTTTTGGGCCCCACACTACAAGAAGGATGTGGAAAAACTGGAAAGAGTCCAGCGGAGGGCAACAAAAATGATTAGGGGACTGGGACACATGACTTATGAGGAGCGGCTGAGGGAACTGGGAATGTTTAGTCTACGGAAGAGAAGAATGAGGGGGGATTTGATAGCTGCTTTCAACTACCTGAAAGGGGGTTCCAAAGAGGATGGCTCTAGACTGTTCTCAGTGGTAGCAGATGACAGAACAAGGAGTAATGGTCTCAAGTTGCAGTGGGGGAGGTTTAGGTTGGATATTAGGAAAAACGTTTTCACTAGGAGGGTGGTGAAACACTGGAATGCATTGCCTAGGGAGTGGTGGAATCTCCTTCCTTAGAAGTTTTTAAGGTCAGGCTTGACAAAGCCCTGGCTGGGATAATTTAGTTGGGGATTGGTCCTGCTTTGAGCAGGGGGTTGGACTAGATGACCTCCTGAGGTCCCTTCCAACCCTGATATTCTATGAAGTCTTCAGGTTAGCAGAGGGAAGCAAAGGGGAAGACATGGTCCACCCTGGCCCAGCCAGCTCTGCACCCAGCCACGCTGTTGTGTAGGAAGGAATCACTTTGGCCCTGTCTCTCTGTATCTTTATCCATCAGTCTAAGGCATAAGCCCTGTGTCTCTGTGAGCTCAGTTCATAACCTTTCCAGGTGACACCTTCCCCCTTTGTTCTCTATCTCAGGCCTTTGCTGGGCTTCCCTGAAGAAAGATGGGGGGATCTCCTTCCTCCTGGCTGTGGGTCATGAGGTGTGAAGGTCCCAGCCACTAGGGTTTCCACTGTCTCTGCCAAACCCTCCGTGACCCAGTCATTCCTCCCCAGACAGCTACGTGACACACACACACCTCATGTCCTGGCATTTTGATGCTTCTATGCCTATTGGGTAGCAATCCCTAGTCCCGTAAGTCACTGCCCTGCACAGCATTCAGAAAACCATTACCGAAAATCCCCAATTCTGTCACACTGGGGCTGTGGGTGGGATTCCAGAGAATGGGGTAGGATCCTGGGGGTGGGAGGGGCAGGAAGTGATGTTCCTGGAGGAGGGAGGAGAGGGGGGGAGGCATGGGAAGGGAGGGATCCTGGGGGAAGGAGGGAGGGAAGGAAGGAAGACCCGAGGGAGGGAGGGACAGGGGTGAGATTCTGGGGGAGAGGCGAGTCCAGGGTCTGTGTGACATCCTACGAGAGGAAGGGGAAGCCCAAACAAAGCCAAGATGTTTTGACTTTGTGTGTCTCCAGCTGGCTGATCCGAGTAAGTCCCCAGAAATGAAGACGGAGGCTGAGTCAGCACTGAGCCTGGACGAGCGGAGGTCCAGCCAGGCCGTCAATGAGGATTATGAAGACACGTCATACGACCGGGGGCACCTGAACCCAAACGCCTTCCAGTGTAATGATGGCCGCACAGCCACCTTCACCCTCACCAACGCCGCCCCCATGGACCCCTGCTTCAACCGGATCCACTGGTACAGGCTGGAGGAAACCCTCAAGACACAGCTAACTGGGAGCTGCAGAAATGTGGGAGGCACCCCCTACCTGGTGACAGGAGCTGTTCCCAGTGACAGTAAGAAAATCCCCATAGAGGGGGAGGACAAGGAAGGGGACCGTAACCGGCCATACAACCGGGTCTCGGTGCCCACCCACATCTGGACAGCTGTTTGCTGCGACCATTGGGACAACAACCGCAAATTCTCCTTCTCCTTCATAGGAGAGAACAAGGAGGCATCCAGTCTTCAAATCATCCCTGTGGAGCAGCTAAACACAAACCTTTCACAGCTGTACAAGACTTCTGAGCCAGTCGAGGTCTTTGCAGATGACTGTGGCTCCAGGAGCCCGAAAGGACTACAGGTTTTGTCAGCAGTAAAGAAAGCCTTGTACAACAGCTTCCGGAACTTTGTAATAGACTCTTACTCCCAGCTCCTTCCACCGGCGAAAAGGAGTAAACTGGACAGGGAGACCACCCAGGTGATGACAAGCACAAACTTGGATCAGAACAAGATGCAGCTGACGAGCATTGGGTTCCTGATGGGTATTTCCAGCCTGGCAGACTGGCACAGTCAGTTTGAGAACACGTACAAACAGGACAACCTGGCCTGTGTGCTGGCCCCTGCTGTGGCTGGAGTGGCAAAGGCTTCCGGGATTTCGGACAGAGTCTGCACCCTCCAGGAGCAGAAACACCTGCCGAACTCTGGTGTAACAGCCAAAGGGTGGAGCTGTGTTGGGCAGACCTGTGGCGAGCATGGATACAAATACAGCTGGTGTTACACGTCTTACAAGAATGACTGGGATTACTGCTGTACGGAGAAGTGCACAGTGGATCCAGGGTCTAAACGATACGAGTGCCCACGAGGAGATGGTTCCACCACGGAATGCTCACCCCAGTACTCCACGGTGACCGTCTCTGGGAAGGCCTGTCGGGCTGACCATCCCTGTGGCCTTTATGAGACAAGTTACTTCTGGTGCTATACAGATTATCGAGACAACTGGGACTATTGCTGCTCCCCCCAGCACTACTGTGGGTACCACAGCTCTGACTACCAGTGGTGTTACAGCCAGGACCCAAAGGCAGCCTGGAGGGAGTGCACCCCGTGACACGCCCACTGGGGAGGGAAGGGGCAACTGGGTGCTTGTCTGGCTCCTTCACACCACAGCAGAGAAGAAATGAACCAGCTACCTTAATCTATTAGTGCTATAGGCCCTGCCCCACGGATGCAGAGACTCCACCCATTTCCTCTATCTGTCTCTTTAGATTTTAAAATGTCATTAAAAAAAAAAATCTCCCTCCCACCCAGAATCTTAGACAGCACCTTCAAGCCATTTCCACAGGAGAGTCTCTTCCACCGGCTGCCTTGGGTTCGAAGGTCTCCATGCAATAGGACTGGGCTCCATCTTTAAAACCAACTACAGACTTTGGATGACCGACTTCAGACACTTTAAAAAAGGGTGGTTTGCACAGCGTGCTGAGCACCCGGCCTCTCCGAAATGAGCCACCGTCGGGGGACATTTTTAAACGTGCCTCAGGAGTTTAGGAGCACAAGTCTCATTAGCAGTCACTGGAAGTGGTGCTCCTAAATCTCCTAGGTGGTTTGAAATTTATCCCCATAAAGCTTCTCATTTTGTGCACCCAAAACACAGGCATTTAAGCTTTGTCATCAGAATTGGTTGGGAAAAGTCGACGATGGCATCATTCAGATAGTTTTTAAAAGTCCTTTTGTGCAGGACTTTTCCACAGATTGGCTCAAATTTTAAGCAGTGAGGGGATTAGCCACTGGAGCAATGTACTGGGAATGTGATGGATTTTCTGTCACTTCGGGTCTTTAAATCAGGCTAGGTCTAGGATATCGTGGTAAAAGATCTGTTCTCATCCAACAACACGATACTGGCCTCAGTGCAGGAATCTCTAGGTGAGGGTCTCTGGCTTGTGTGGCCCAGAAGCTCAGACATGATGGTTAGAAAGTTCCTTTCTGCCTCATTGATGTATATTAATCTATCAATCTGATCCACTTTTACCAAGATACCCTTGCAGTAACTGGGACCTGCAGATCTCTCCTAATTGTCAGATCACGTGCAGGGACGTGGCGTGGGTGGAAGTTCAGAAAACATTGCAATAACCTGTAACAGTGATGATAGATAGGAGGGTTACGAGAAGGGATCAGAAAGACAGGATTCGTCCAAACAAAAATGCAACCCCAGCACTGTATTAGGATCGTGACTGATAAACCAAGGAAGGACAGACTCAGAAATCAATTGATCAAACATGGTGTGTCAGAAATCAGGATAATTAGTGAATGAACTAATGAGGGGATTCTCCATTCCCCCTCCCCCACTCATCCTTTTTAGAGCTTCAAAAGGAGACTTTGGGGACCAGAAAGTGTGGAGTGGACTCCTGGGGGAAAAGCCAGCAGGCCTCTGGTTTGCTTCAGAGACTCTGTCCTTCATTGGTGAGCCTGGATCACCAGGCCATCCAGGCCAGCACCCTGACGAGGACACCTGGCCATCACTGCTAGACCAGCAAACACCCTGCTTGATACAGGTGAGCTCCTGCTCTGTCTGCCCTCTCCTCACGTATCGCTTTCCTTTCTCCATTCTCTTCCTCCCCTCGTATCTCTCTCTCTCAGCTGTTCCCGACCCTGCAGCCAGCTGCATGACATGGCGCCAGCGTGACAGGAGGCTCTTTCCTGTAAGGACCAGTGAAGGAGAGGGGCCTAGCCAGACCAGCCAGATGAGGTCCCTGACCAGCGTAGCGAGCCGGGGCAAGAGCAACAGGTATCATGGCCAATCTGCCAGCCCAGAGCCAAAGCCTACATCCGTGACTGACCAGCCACCTGGTGTCCTGACAGCATCAACCAAAGCTGTATTTCCCCCATTCATACTGTGCTGTCTCGTCTCCCCCGTTGTGTCTGTCTGCCTTGTCAAGATCAGGAAAGGGAACCGTCATTCACAGGAATCAGCTCAGAGCCCCACCACAGAACTAGTCCTTTCGTCTCCAATACAAAGGGTCTCCCAACGGGACGAGATACTCTAACCAATATCCTCCCTCTGAAAAAGGGGCTTGCAGAGGCTTCGATTAAATTTCTCTTCCTTAATGCTCCATTTCAGTCCCAGAATGATTTGTGCTTTGTTTTCAATCCTTTTTCTCATGTGTAGCCTAATCAATCAATTATGAAACTGTGGCATGGATTTTCTAGTGTGTTGTCATGATTCTGAGCAGGCCACGGTCGCTGAACTCACCATGACAGGTTTCAGAGTAGCAGCTGTGTTAGTCTGTATCCGCAAAAAGAAAAGGAGGACTTGTGGCACCTAAGAGACTAACAAATTTATTTGAGCATAAGCTTTCGTGAGCTACAGCTCACTTCATCGGATGCATGTAGTGGAAAATACAGTGGGGAGATTTTATATACACAGAGAACATGAAACAATGGGTGTTACCATACACACTGTAACGAGAGTGATCAGGTAAGGTGAGCTATTACCAACAGGAAAGCGGGGGGGAGCGGGGGGGAGGAACCTTTTGCAGTGATAATCAAGGTGGGCCATTTCCAACAGTTGACAAGAATGTGTGAGGAACAGTGGGGCGGTGGGGAGGGAATAGTTTTACTTTGTGAAATGACCCATCCGCTCCCAGTCTCTATTCAAGCCTAAGTTAATTGTATCCAGTTTGCAAATTAATTCCAATTCAGCAGTCTCTCGTTGGAGTCTGTTTTTGAAGTTTTTGTGTTGAAGAATTGCAACTTTTAGGTCTGTAATCAAGTGACCAAAGAGATTGAAGTGTTCTCCGACTGGTTTTTGAATGTTATAATTCTTGACATCTGATTTGTGTCCATTTATTCTTTTACGTAGAGGCTGTCCAGTTTGACCAATGTACATGGCAGAGTGGCATTGCTGGCACATGATGGCATATATCACATTGGTAGATGTGCAGGTGAAGGAGCCTCTGATCGTGTGGCTGATGTGATTAGGCCCTATGATGGTGTCCCCTGAATAGATATGTGGACACAGTTGGCAACGGGCTTTGTTGCAAGGATAGAACTCACCATGTGTCCCTGCTGTACAGTGACAGGGCTAGGTTAACACCTTTGACTCTCTGGGCCCATTAATGCCATTGAAATGATCACACCATGCCCCAAACTTTCTGTTCTGGGTTCCTCTCTGCATCAAGGATCCAGAGAGTCCCTGTTAACTCCTTTGGGGATAAGAACTGTGGGCTGGTGCAAGGCTGGAATGAGTGAAATGCTCAGAACTTTTGCGAACTGAATAGATATTTGGTGCACTGAACCCTTGGGGGACATTGGCTTTTCTGTTCCTCTGGGAGCTCGCTGGAGAGATTTTATGGAACCAAAGCTGACATATTATTTGTGTCGCCAGCTTGGGGCTTGGGCAAAGCAGCAGAGACAGAGTGGAAGTTAAAGAGGGGGCACATACCTAGCCTCGAAGGACACACACAGAGCCTTGCCGGGGGTGGGGGGAACTGGATCTAGATCCTGACTGACAAATAGGGCACCCAACCGCATGCCCCAGAGAACCCAAATGGCTGGCACTGCCCTAGTGTGTGAGCTCAGCGTGGCCAACCCCAAACGTTCAAAATCATGACTCAGATTCCCCCCAGAAAGCATGAGGCTGCCCCAAAGTCATGCCTTGAGGAAGTGTATAGGGTGGCGTATTTTTTTGGTCTGTCTTCTCAGTTTGAGCTCCCACTGCCGTGTGTGTGTCTGTGTGTGCTCCCTACACACTCTGACATAGCGTGAGTAAAGGGAATTTGGCCTCCACACCCGAACTGCGGTCCCATTGCACAACACTGTACAAAGGGCTGCCGGAAAGTGTGGAGCTTCCGGCTTCTCCCCACCCCCACCCCAAATGCCAATCAATTAACTCTGCACCCGCCCAGCCCCACATCTGTCCATCCCCAGCCTATTCATTGATTAGGTCTCCCCAGCCCCTTATGAATTTTTGTGCCCCCCTCCCACCCTGGCATCTGCCCCGACTCCCAGACCCACATCAATTCTGCCCCACCAGCCCCACATCTGTCCTTCACCCCCAGCCCCACTTCTGCTCCTCCTGCAGCTGTGGAGGGTTCTTCCCCCACGCCTCCCATGGAGGACAACTTCTCTCCCTTCCCTCCATCGGCAGGGGTCAAAACGGCATCTCTGATTACAGAACGGTGAGCGCTTCCCCAAGACACACACTGTGTTAGTGGGCAGGAGGAGGAGATCCCAGGGCATGGACTAACTGGCATGGCTCGGTGACCACTGCAGGTTGTGGGTACAGAGGGGTGTGTTCGGGCATTGAGCGCCAAGTGGTTTTCTCCTCCCACATCATAGTATAGAGAAATGGCAGAGGCCTAATCTCAGCGCCAGCTCGGGGATGTGAATTTGGGATTGTTGCCATCACTGAGGGCACATCACGATTAAAGACAAGACAAGTACGCCATGTGACAAACTGGGTTCCCCTGCGGGAGAACCGGACCCCTTTACACAGGATACCTTACTCCACACACTTCAACAGCACAATAATATTGTATACAGCCAGTTGATCCGACAGCTTATTCTTTGGGGCTCAGACCCGCTGTTTGCCCCCTGTGGTGTCTGGACCCTGATTGTCACAACCCAATTATTAATTATGAATATTTATCACCAGAGAAAAGGAGGGAGGGAACTAATCCAGAACACAAGCCATGAACAAGGGTGTAACATTCTATACCTTGGGGGAGAGTCCCAGAACCCCCATACAGTACTCCTCATTTTTATATCAGCGCGGTCTTACATACAAAGCAGGCCTTGTAAGGTATCCCAGTGCGGGCATCGCGCAGGGCATTCCCAGCAGGTCGGAAAACGAACCTACACTGTAAGTGCTGCTGAGCATCCCTGGATTGTTAGTACAGGTAAGCTGTGTGTGCTTTTCTTGCTGAATGAGCAAGAGGTGTCCCTCGGAGCTGGTCTCTTCTTGTGCACTGCGGCCATTCATGAGCAGTGACAGCATTCTGGGCCTGGCAGGTCCCTGTCCAGGTTGGGGCAGACTTTTGAGCGTAAGTTGTGTATTTAACACTTTCCTAACACAAGGCTCATCCTCCCACTTCAGAGAATAAGGAGTGTGATAGAAGTTGGACAGTCTGAACAGGGCTGGCCTTACCATGAGGCAAACTGAGGCGGCCGCCTCAGGTGCCAGACTGTGGGGGGGCGCCACTAGGACCCAGAGTGTAGAAAATTGTGTCTGCTGCTGGTGTATCTGTATTCTCTCTGCTCTAGATGCACAGAGAGGGTGGAGTGCTGTGCTGGAGGAAGAAGGGCACAAGAGACATAACAGGCATGTAGGAGAAAAGGTGACAGGGAATAACAGAAAGCAGCAGAGCTACAGGGAGAGAGAGGAGAAGGAGCCTCTTATGTACCTCTCTAGCACCCCAGGAGCCTGGACTGATTAACTCCAGCATCTCAGGGAGCTTCCTGTTTCCTGCTACTTCCCTGAACCCACCTGAGGAGAACAGGCCGTCAGCTGAAGTAGTAGGAGCCAGTTAGGCCCTTAAGACGCTGATATCTTCCCTCACTCAGGCCCTGCTACCAGCCTGCTTATTTGTCCCCTTCAATTGAGTGCCGGGAGCCACTATAGCTGGCCCAGAACAGCAGCCATGAGTGAAAGAAGAAAACGCCCCTCTGGGGCAGTATTCAGCAAAAAGAAAGAAAGCAAAGGAAGCTTTTCTATCTAAGCAGGAAGGAGCTCTCCTGAGATACATAGACACAAATGTTCACGGTGAGCCTTCTGGCCCCAGTGAGGATGTGAGTGGAGAGGAGATGCCTGATCTTCCAGTTAGTCAGAGTGCAGGTGACCTAGCAGCTACTGCAGCATCCATATCTCCATCTCAAATGGATGTAACTATGCACATTCCTGAAGAAAAGTGTAGATCAGAGAAGAGTGTGGTGGAGGCTCAAGAAACAGCTGCTGCTGAGTTTAGTTCCTTAAGTCTAGATGATCCAGGACTGCGGACCCACTTGAGCAGTAGCCTGAGGGACTTCCTTGTACTGCGTGGGCCACAGCAAGTGAAAAACTTCATGTTCCCCAAAGACAATGAAAATAGAAGTTTCCATCCAACACATTACTGGTGTGAAATCCCCAGTGGTGACAAAGTAGAGAGGCCATGGTTTATGTACTCAAAAACCCAGAATGCCGCATACTGTTTTTGTTGCAAACTGCCAGTCTAATGTTCCAGCCACATTGGGTTCTACAGGAACAAAGGACTGGAAAAATCTGGCTAGAAATCTGGCATGCCATGAGAAGGCAGCAAATCACCAGAGAGCATTCCATAGGTGGAAAGAGCTTGAGATGAGATTAAGGTTAAAGGCCATCATAGATGATCAGCAACAAGAGAAGATTGCATTAGAGTCTCTTTACTGGCAAAATGTTCTGAAAAGGTTCATTGCCATTGCGACAATGCTTGCAACCCAAAACCTCGCACTGCGTGGCACTTCAGATCAGCCGTATGTGCCAAACAATGGAAACTTCCTTAAAATTGTGGAGCTGATGGCTGCGTTTGATGCTGTACTCCAGGAGCATCGAAGAAGAGTCACCACCCAAGAAATGTACACACACCACTACCTTGGAAAAACAATTCAAAATGAGACCATACAGTTACTGGCAACAAAAGTCAAACAGAAGATTGGGGCAGATCTGAAGTCAGCAAAATATTACTCTGTTATTCTGCACTGCACACCTGACATCAGCCATACGGAACAAATGATGTTCATGGTGCATTTTGTAACAACAACAGAACCTAGTGAAAATGTCCCTGCAGTGGTGACTGTCAGAGAGCATTTTCTAGAATTTATTGACATTGATGATACTACAGGAGTTGGTGTGACAAATGTGCTTCTTAAAAAGCTGGAAGATATGGGAATTGCCATAGCTGACATGAGAGGTCAGGGCTACGATAATGGTGCCAACATGAGAGGAAAGAACAGAGGAGTGCAGACACGGATCTGAGAGTTAAACCCTCAAGGTTTTTTTGCCCCATGCAGTTCTCATTCATTGAACTTGGTGGTCAGTGATGCAGCATCAGCTTCGAGCGAGGCTGCTGAATTTTTTAACATAATTCAAAGCATCGATGTATTTTTCTCTGCATCAACTCATCGATGGCAAATTTTGAATCAACATCTGGGAACATCCTTTCTGACACTGAAACCATTGCATGCCAC